GGGGGGGGTGTTTTTATTTTTTATTTTTGTGTTTTTAAACTAAGGCTGCTTGCAGACGCTTAAAAACAAACAAACAAAACCCCAATCCAACCCCACCCCTGCAAAAACATGCATTACCGGAAGAAGCGGCATGTTACTTTGACCCAACTCTGCGGTGTCTGTATAGATCAGGTGCTTTAGTAGGGCTTTTTGGTGCTTTAATCTAATAACTGATTGACAGCTTCAGATAAAGTGCCAAAAAAGCCCCACTAAAGCACCCGATTTATATAGACATTGGGCGAGCAGGGTCCAGCTAATGCAATGCTTCTGAGCATGTGCTGGGTTTAAAGTAAAGCACCAGGTTTTTTTTTATTTCTTGTTTGTTTGTTTTTATTTTAATGTCTACAAGCCTAGATAACTTCTGTTTCCAGATGCAGTTAGTACGCCCAAATTGAAATATTTTAACTTCCAAAGATAAGGAATACAACAGGGCTAGTTCTTTTTTGTTTGTCAGAATCTCATGGACATATTGTCAGAGGTAGAGATGAGAGAATTTAGTCTCGGTTTACACTTGCTTTTCAGCTACAGGTTTACTGCTAATAGTAAACCATTCACATGGTTGTTTGTTTGTTTTTCCCTCCCCTCTTCATAGCATCTTCAGTTGTGTTATATTTCCAAAGGCTCTGTTTCAGCCATGTCTACCATAACTATTATTGTTTTTTCTGCCACTGGTCTTGGCAATTTTGGGAGCCTGAACATGATGGGACCACTGACTGCTGCATTTTTTACATGCCATCTTTTAGCCTTGCTTAGAACAGGTCTAAGAAGCCCAGAGTTATCACATTGCTGGCTGCTGGTGTTCCATGTAAATGAGGGCTAGTTGCATTGCATTGCAGTTATAGAGCTGAACTATTGTTAGCAGTAATGAAGCAATTATTTAATATTGTCTTAGACTGTACCGTTGTGGTCAACTTCCTTCTGACTAAGGAGGCGTGGATGTAGCTTCCTTCAGAGCCATGGCTGTTGTTGCTGTTCTTTCATTTGGTTTGAGGTAACGTAAGCCTATAATATAAATTGACAGCATGTGCTACAATGGCTTTATGACTACTACAATGGCTAATTCAGAGCAGTTCTTTATGACTGTTTTATCTTAAGGAGTCACAGAAATGTGTAGTTCAGTTTTTAAATGGATATGGCAAATAAATGAAAGTGAAACAACCAATTCATGATGCTAATATCTTAGATTGGGTTAGATATTTGTTTTGTTCTAGCTGAGTTTTAATGTAGCATAAAAATTTAGGACTTTACGTTCTCTGTTGCCTACTCGATAACATCATAAGAACCAACATAATATTGTACTCTAACACCCATTTTCTTTCTTTTAGAGTAGTGATGCTCAAACTCTGGCCCTCGGATCCATGTCATCAGGCCTACAGGTCTAGAAATTTGGCGACATTTTTCGCCAAATTAATTGCTGTGGCTTGCAGAGCTGGTGCATGGTTGGATCTTATGCATGGGGCCAGACTGGCACACTGGATTGCATCCCCAAATTGACACTGTGCACCAACCTTGCCAATGGGATCTGGTCTGCAGATTAGCCCCGCACCCCCTCATTGGGCCCACAAGGCCAGAAGTTTGAGCACTGCTGTTCTAACGCATTTAGATTAGTGGTTTTCAACCTTGTTAGACTAAAGGCTCACTGCATTAGATGCTAGGCACCCCTTGGAAAATGCAAGCTCTTAGTTTTTACTTGTCTTTTGATTACAGAAAAATAAAAGGGCAATTCTTTTGTTGCAAAGAACTGAAAGACCACAACGGATCAGAATGCTTTTAATGCTGTGGATTCCTATTTGAAGCTTCTGGGTTTATCTTGTGACCGATGTCTCTGCACATCAAACAGTGTTAACATTGCATGGCACCCTTGAAAGGATCTTAAGGCACCCCAGAGTGCTGCAGCACCCTGGCTGAGAATCGCTGGTTTAGATTAAAATCCTAGTTTGTTTATAAATGGAAGTATGAGTTTGGTCACATGCTGGCTACCATCTGTCTGTGACACATGGCCATCTTGTAATTTGGCACTAGTTGGCATTAGTTGCAGTTTTTGTTGGCGTGCCACTTCAGTTTGGAATAGCAATGATGTTCGAGTCAAGGTGCTGGAATAGGGATGTGTGAGTAGCGTTATGTGGGTGGTCTTCTGCAAAGATTACATATGATGTGATTTTTTTTTTTTTTTTTTTTTTTTTTTTTTCTTCCAAGTTAACAGTGGTCAGGAAAGAGTTGGAAACCTTCAGACCTTCTGAATTAAAATCAAAAGTTACTTGCTGTAGCCTTGAGTGAGTAACTAAACTTCTGTGTCTCTTTCTTATTCATCTGTAAAATGTGAACAACATTAATCTACATCACAGAAATGAATTGAAAGTGGCTTGTAAAGGCAAGCTGTTGACATGCAACGTTATTTTTCTTCCTTACTAGTAAGGATCCGCTCATTTTAATTTTAGTATGAGGACTTTATTAATTTAGAAAACAAGCTATATCTCTTCAGTTCTGACTAGTCTCACTCTGTGTAGTTCCTTGCTTCCTTGTTTTGCTGCTCTTCAAATGAGTCTTGAGAGAGTTTGTCAGAAATATAAAACAAATCAGATGCCCGGTGGCTTTTAGCTCTGTCCTCTATGATTTGAGAATTTTAAAATAGTAAATCCATAATGTGTTCAGGGCTTATGTCTCAAAGTCTCACAACATCTTAACAAAAATAAAACTTAACTGTGGAAGCTGAGGCTACAAAATGCATCATTTTTTTTTTTTTTTTTTTCTTTTTTCTTCTGACCAAAGTAGTCCTAATCATTGGTGTTCACACATCCTTTGTCAGACTCCTATGGCTATCAGTATGCCTTTATCTTTGAAGCCTGGGTGGTTCACTAGTGATAGGGTTCCAGTAAATGAAAGTATATATGAATCAAGGTTAGTGAATTTAGTCAGCTACAAAGAATATGTGTTCTTTGTAGGTGTTTGTATTTTTCCACTGGCTAAAACTAGTTTGTATGGTTAGAGGATCCAGAGGGTTTTTTGATCTTTTAACATTTCCTCTCTACTTCTCATCCTGAAATATGGCATTTTGTGCTTTCAGTATTTTACAGTTTCATTGCTATGACACTTTCAAAGATTTGAAAAAAGAAAGACATTTTAAAAAGGAGGTAACTAAATGCAACTGAGGCAGTTATCTCCTTGTTGTTGAAGATGGCTTTGAAGTGTGCCTCAGTATTAAATCAAGGGTGTATAACTAATTATTTTAAATTCATATCCTATATAAGTAATATGAGTATCTTATTTTTGGCTTTTTATCTTTCTTAAATCTATATTATGAGGAAAGACTAAGGGATCTGGAACTGTTCAGCCTGGGGAAGAGAAGACTGAGTGGGGACTTGGTGGCTACCTAAAAGTTATGTAAGGAGTGAATATTGGGAGCTGAGGCTAAAGCTGTTCACTGGGGTGCCCCAGGGGAGAACAAGGAGCAATGACATAAACTGTTAGAGGATGGTTTCAGGTTGGATGCAAAGAAGAGCTTCTTTACAGTAAGGGTGACCAGAATCTGGAATAGACTTCCCAAAGAGGTGGTGCAGTCCCCAACCTTGGAAGTCTTGAAGAAGAGACTGGACAGACACCTTGCTGGGATCATTTGATCTTGGCAGTATTCTTGCCCAGAGCAGGAGTGTTGAACTTTCTGATCTTTCAAGGTCACTTCCAGCCCTTTAATTTATGTGATTATCTTAGTCTATCTTTAATAGAATAACCAGTTTGGATTACATTCATATGAGCAACCCAGCTAATTGGGATTCTGTTAGAGGCTCACCCAGCAAATGTCATCATTTGGACTATTTATCGAATTGACTTTAAATTTAATAAAGAAAGCACTTCAACATACTCTATTTGGATAACTAAGCTTTTTAGCTATTATTAAAACCATTGCTACTCCTCCCTTACATAGCTGAAATTTTACCTCTTGTCTCAGTGGGTTTTTGGGGGTTTTTTTTCTTGGGGTAGGAAGAAGAGAAGGGGAAAATCTCAATGAAAATACTGAAATTTTATTTTTGTTCTAATAGTGTTCCTCAGTTGGATTAAATCCAGGAGTTAGTTTTAAACTCTGTTTGGGTCAATTAATACTCATCAACTCAGTGCTTATTTCTCATGTTAATTCTGTGTTTAAATCATAGCTGTCGCTTCCGCATGCAGGGATTATCTAGACATAATTATACTTTATGATGGAAGAAATTAGTTTTGATCTTTCTTCTGGTTCTGGATCTTTTCTCTGAAGCCCACTTCCTTTAATAAACTAAAAGTGCATTCAGTCAAACTGAATTAATACTTCTGCTGAATCCTCTGGTTCATATTGTAAAATTGTTTGAAGATAAATTTGTATACATGAAAGCAAATTAATTTGAATGGATAGATTAGCAATGCATATGGTTTGAGCAAGGATTTTTTTTTTTTTTTTTTTTTTAGTCCTATGTTTAGCAAGACAATTGGCCAGAAAGAATTAGTTTTCAATCTGTGGATGTTGGTATCAAATTAGAAGATATTTCTGCAACTTTTGTTTCTTATTTAAAAAAAAAAAAAGTAAAACCTAAATTATTTCAAGGGGGATCAATGAGGATTTATGTTTATAAGGCCCTATAAAAATTGTTGTTGTGCCTTATGTTTTCAGTTATTGGAACGTCTTAATTGCATTGTTGACTTCTGCTTGTGTGACACATTCATAAAGGAGAGGCTAAATGGCAGTCTAGGTATTCTACCTTCAACCGGTGATACAAATCTTGAATCTGCTGTTCTGGATTTAGTGCAGAATAAAAAGCACATAACCTTTTAAATCCATCTTTCATTCACAAAGGATGGCCTGGTTTCCTTTCCACTGAATTATAACGTGCTAGAGTAAAGGTTTTGAAATGCTTTTATTTATTTAGTAGCCAATTGCCCATCAAGAATGGGATGGAGTTCTGCCACCCAGTGCCCCCATGCTGCTGCTGTTCCGCCTCTTGCAGGGAGCGGGGTGCACCCTCTGTCCGGTCCTTGGTGCAGCTTCTGAATCATGGCGGCTCTCCCCCATGCCTGGAGCACTCTGATTAGCTGTTTCCATCAGCCAGTCAAGAGTGCGAATAAAGTATTACAGACAGACAGGCTTTTATAATATTAGAATTTTAAAGTATGAATGTGAAGATGTTCTTGAGTTGGGGGAGGAGGGAGCATGGCAGAAGTAAGGTAGGGATAGAGGAGGGAAGAGAAAACACTTTAAAAGCTGGAAGAGCAAAAAAGGTTAGAAAGTGATCATGTCAGACTGTGTACCCTTCATTCATAGACTAGGCTGCTTCTAGTTAGTGGCTTTCACAGTGAAGTGTATTGAATCCCTGTTTTAATTTCTGCATTAAAATATCTATACCATAGTACAAGGCCAAATAGAAATTTGCACTGTAATAGCTGCATATACTTTGCAGTGCTTTGAATTCTGAGCTCATGGTGATCTCTTTGCTACATTGTAAAGTTTGTGTAGAAGTTTAAACCACAGGAGAATCAATGCAGCAACATGTTACTATTACACATCTTTGAATACTGAGACTCTGGGAATTACAGATCTGTTGGTATTGACTACTTTTTTACTAGGGAAACATTGCTCTTAAAGCAACACAACAGTTTCTAAGCGATGATGCATCCTCATAATGATAGCATTTCCTGAGAACTCAAACAGCCTGTCTGTAGGCTAATTCTTTTCTTTGAAATAGGTTTTGTTCAATCTGTGTACAGTCGGGTTTCAGGATGAGTGGATAGGATAAGTTTGACAACTCAGCTTTTGTTTTGTAAGCTGAATGTGAAGTAATCTAATGCTTTTAAACCTTATGCTGCATAGATGTTCATTTATTGGGTCTGTGGTATGTGTCTATGCACTTATTTCTTGTGCCCACATGTGATGTTTGGTTGACTAGCCAGTTCATCTTGTGCCCTCATCTTTACAGTTTGCAGAACTGCCCTATTCCTTCTGTAAAGAGGAATGATTTGGTGATGGAGTACTTCCACTGACTGATGGACTCACAAGACGGAAGGTAAAGACGTGCAAACCATCTGAAATTATATGGACTCTATAAAATTGACTAATTTGCATGAAAGACTTACGGACAGTATTTTAGGCCTATTTCAGCCTGTCCCTACCAGTGAAACTTCTGGATCAATTCAGTGGTGATTGGTTGAGACAGTGGCCCCACCCATCAGCAGCGAGGAATGGGGCCACTGGCCCTCTTTGCCAATCAGCAGCAAGGGGAGGGACCACCACCTCCCTCCCCTGGCTGGCTCCCTGCTGCCCTCGCCTCCTGTGCACTGCCCTACCTCTAGGTACAGCCAATAGAATCATGAGGACAAATGATTGACATATATTTCCACCAGTGAACTGAAAAACAGGATTTTTTGCTGTGTTCTTCATTCAGAAATGGACCGGGGACAAAGGGTTTAGAAACAGGATAGGGTAGCCATTGGTCCCATTTTGTAACAGACTAAGTGAAGTACCCAAAATCTGATGCCACATTAACAACGGCTGTTCTTGTTGTCTTTAGCAACTTTTTATTTTATGAAGTGTTCTCTATGTCTCCCTCTATTTTAGACTGCACGCTGTATAATGCTGGCTACATTAGGTGGACTAAATTATGTATTTGAATTTTAGAGTACTTGACCACCTCCTCTTCCTTCGCTTTCTGACATATCAACTCAAGGGGGAAAAATAATTAAAATAACTGACACCATTCTGTCTCAACAACTTAAGTCTCACTTGATTCTTGGATGTTATGAGGTCATTCAGAGGTTGACTTCTTCCATAGCAAGAAATCAATTGCTGAGACTACTTTTTTTTTTTTTTTTTTAAGTTGCATTTACCGTGCAATGTTAATGGGAGTAGCACACACAAGTGAGTTCCCTTCCCCTTCCCGGTTAGCTCTTTCCAGACTTGTTTTTAGGGTCCATTGGCATACATTAGTTTTATACTCTCTTCTACGTGGCCATTACTGTTGTTCTGGGGCACTTCACAATCTAATGTATTTAATCTCTCAACTATACAAAAGAGGCAAGGGCTATGTTACAGATGGTGGAACATATGACTTAGTCAAGGTGCTATAAAAAGCCTGTTTCTAAATAGAAGTAAACACATGATTACAGGCTAGATGAATACAGCCTTTTTTAAAAAAAAAAAAAAAAAAGGATTGTATTTAAATTGGATTCCTTTTAATAATTGTTTTGTAAAGTAATACCTATTTTAAAAATAAACTTGACATTTATGAAAACCTAGATGACCTGAATTTACCATGATTTGTTAAAATAATTCTACATAAAAATAAGTGTTGTGTTTTGCCATTGAACTTAATAAAAGATAAGGCCACTGAACAGGGAGAAGTTGCTGGCAAAGCACCTACAGCCAGAATTTATTGAAGTGATAAACCATCTGTTGATAACTGTAGCTTCATGTGCGGATGCAAAGAGAATATTTTCTTCTTTTTTGGTTTTGGTCAATGACTCTTTGTTCATGGGTAAACGGTAGATATGAGAAACTGAAGCTTATCAGTACTAAAAACTTGAAGGATGTGGTGACTGGAAACAATCACTTCACTTTACTAAGTACAGATAACTTTCTTTTGTTTTAATAAATTGGATAGTATCAAGAGAAAACATGTTCCAATATACTTTTTTCTGGTACATTTGAAAAATGTAGTGTCACTTTAGTTGACCAATGAAAAAATAATATTTAAAATAATGTATTTTTGCATCATTAATTGAAGTTGAATCCCTTTGCCAAAGTAGCTTGACACAGATCATGAGTTGGGGTTTTTTTTTTTTTTTTTTAAATCTAACAAATAAGAAACATTCATGTTTTTGAACGAATATATATTAAACTATATAATTGCCTAAATGTGAGAGATGTATCTTCTTTATTAGCAAAAAAAGACAAATTTTAAAGTCTGTATTTAGTTGTGAATTTGCATGTCTGGTCACTGAACAATGAAAAACAGCCTTTCTCTGGGCAATTAACTAGCAAGTACTACAGCAAAGCATGATTTTAAAATTATTTAAGTTAATGTTGTTGGGGTTTTTTGTGTTTAACCATGATTTAAATTACTTGTCTTAAAGCTACTTAAATCAATCTGCTGTGGTTTCCTTAGTCACAAACTAGCATTATGATCACTGACCCATTCTTCTATTTCATGTTTATACTTGAAAAGCCAACAGAATAGGTCTGGATTGTATTTAAAAAAAAAAAAAAATACCAGCTGCTGCTTTTTTTTCTCGACTTTCCCTTGTAGCTCAGCAGAGGCAGACGGAGCCAAAGAGAGAGGCATAGTTTATGTTTGGAAGGCTGGTTCTTGCTGTGCAACACCTGAAAGAATTCCAGGCTGGGGTGGGAAGACAGTACTTCAAGCAGCCCTTGGAGTAAACCATGGCTTACTTCTGACAGAAGGTATTTAATATATGGTTTGGACTTGAAGCTGATAATTTAAGTATTTGATGTTGGATTAAAATTATTATAGAATTCTAAAACTAAGTTTGAGGACCTAGTTTGATGTATTACGTTGCAAATAATGTATTTACCATGCAAGCTGATTAAGAGTTAGTACTCTTGGTAAGAATGCTGTTATACCATATTTACTCAAATCCCGAGATGAAGTTTCTTGGGGCTGGAGCTACTCTGGAATGTAGCTGGAGCTGTAACTGATAAACAGTGGGTGGTGGTAGGAGGGCAGAGCAGAGCTGTTGGGGGTGTGGGGAAGGAAGGGGGACTAGTCCTAGTTCTAGGGGTGGGGAGAGGCTGTGGAAGGGGGTCAGAAGCAGTGGGTGGCAGGGGGAGGCAACAGTGGACACATGGATGCTGCAGTGGGGGTAGGCAGCAGGGTGTGCTGGCACCATGGGGGAGCAGAAGTGTAGGGGCAGGCAGCAGGGTTCAGGAGTAGGTGGCGTGGGGTCAGGCACCACAGGGCGAGGTGCCGGGGGGGTGGGTACAGGGTGAGATTTTTGTGGGGGGCACAGACACCAAGGGAGGCTTGGGGTATAGGTGAGGAGGGCGGCTGAGGGTCAGGCTGTTGTGTGTTGTCTTCCTCCATCTCCTCCCCCCCCCCCCCCCCCCCCCCCGGCTGCTGCTAACCTTACTTGCAGTGTTGGGGGAGGGGGTGAACTTAATACAAACAACCCCCGCTTAGCTCTCTTAGTTGGTTCCTGAAAAACTGAGTGTTAAGTGAAATGAGTGTTAAGTGGAACCAAAAGTATTTGACGACCCAAGATGGCAACTGTGAGCATTATAACGAAACTCGTTGAGTGCTAAGTGAAATAAAGTATCAATTTCAAATGAGTGTTTATAGCGAAATACTGTAGCGTTAAGTGAGGGGTTGCCTGTACAGGCCTCCAATAATTGGATTCTATACCTGGAAAATTTATATAAAAGTTAATTACTGGGGACTTGTCCTAAATTTGAAGTCATCTTGGATTCAGGTGAATATGGTAATCTATGCATTTTAGAATGTAATGGGTTAAAACTTCAGATGTTGCTAACTCCTTTTTTTCCTTTTTAACAAAAATAAAGGTAGATTGGAGACTCTTTATTTATAATATGGCAGCATAATTTATACCTTTTCCAGGCACTTTTCTGCTTCATTAAGTCTTCCAGAATGTGTAGATTTGAAAAATATCAAGATAAGATTCCTTCCCCCCCATGTCATATGCGCTCAGTCTTTTGTTTTTTATTTTCTGAAAAATGACAAGTAGATAGATTACAATAACACTCTATTTATGATTAGTTGATCCTGAAATTTTTAGAAACTCTTGAGTCTTGCTGTTTCTTTCCTCTGTTTGTTATCAATAGGCTATACTTGGCAGAGGTAGTTTGGAAGCTGCAGGTCTCCTCCCCCCCCATTTTCAAAACAAATAGAACTTTGTACTGTTTTTTGAATGTTACAAAATTATAAGTAAACAATACTCTAACTTCAGGAACGGTTGACTAAAGCCATGTGTAATCTACATGACCTACTGTGGCACTATGTTGCTGGAAAAAAAAAATCTTTGAATGATATGCATGTAGAAGCAAAGTGTACTGTTCTCTGAATGCAACTCTAATGATACTTTAACTGGCAAAATGAGTGTTGTCACAAGTAAACCTTAGAAAGGGACACCTTTTTTATTTGTGGTGTTGCTTGCTTATTCATTTCAAGGCTACCAGGACTGTGTTACAAAGTGAAACAGGTGATCAGGTAGCCTTTCAGTTTTAAAGGAATAAATATTAAAGCAATGCTTTAGTGTACACTCTTGCTACAATACTGAAGTTCAAGGTTTGTGATTTTTTACTGGTTAATCTCATTGTAACAATACATTTTTCCAGGTGGTGAAGTCTACAGTTTTGGAAAGCTTCCCTGGAGGACTAGGGTAGAAGAGAGATGTGCTAACAGTCCTATCTTAGAAAATGCTTTGACTGGACAGCATATTGTTACTATAGCAGCTGGGAGCTTCCATAATGGAGCAGTGACTGAGAGTGGTGCAGTTTACATGTGGGGGAACAATTTGGCTGGGCAGTGTGCAGTGGCTAACCAGCCTTACATTCCAGAACCACATCCCATCAGTATTTCTGACTCTGAAACCAGTCCTCTGTTATCCATCAGGATTTTGCAGTTGGCATGTGGAGAGGAGCATACTCTGGCACTGTCAATAAGCAGAGAGATATGGGCATGGGGGAGTGGCTGTCAGCTTGGCCTCATAACTACTAGTTTTCCAGTGACCAAGCCACAAAAAGTGGAACATTTGGCAGGACGTGTTGTACTTCAGGTTGCCTGTGGAGCCCACCACAGCCTGGCACTTGTGCAATGTCTCCCTGTGCAAGATATGAAACCAATCCCAGAGAGGTGCAACCATTGCAGCCAACTCCTCATTACCATGACAGACAAAGAAGACCATGTAATCATCTCAGATAGTCACTGCTGTCCATTGGGTGTGGCTTTGACTGACTCCCAACCAGAAAACCATGTCTCCTGTTCCTCATTGGAAACCCTTGAAGGGAAAAGTGCAACTGGTAGTGAGGGCTGTCAAAAGTCTCTTGAAGACCAGTCACTTATGGCTTCAGAATCAGATGTGGCAAGTGTGTTTTCTCACAACGATGGGCAGGAAGACGGTGGTATTTCCAGTCCTGGAAACATCTTGTTTCCTGACAGAAAAGGAGTGAAAGAGGCCTTGAAGAACGTGTCAGATCACTCATTCAATGAGAGCATGGAGAAAAGCATCAGCACAGAACCTGAACAGGTACCAACCATTGTTGGGCTACACTCTTTTTTCCGTATGTGTACTCTGTTTGATATCCTGTAATGTGTTCATGATGGCTGAAGGACTCTCTCTTAGTGTGTAATATAAATTTGAAACTATAGCAACAATTCTGTAATTGTCACAGGATTTTTTTTATCTGTCTTGGATATCAAGTTTATATATGAAAAGGATTGTGGGCTGAGTAGAATGGTCACCCTGCTCATCCTTTTCTGACATTTTTAAATGGGCAACCTTTGCAGACAATACTCTAGTCTTATGTTGTGGATTATGCAGAGGCAACGACCCAGTAAACTTATTTCCAACTCATTTAAAATAAAATGTCATATGGATTTATACGCTGAGACTTCATACGTGCTATCTGCTGCTTTTAAGATTTCTGTACAGTTAGAATGATTTTTCTTCAACTGAAGGTTTTGGCTAGTTAATTGGGACTTTCATGATCATATTTTATTCTGAGTGCCCTTTCAGTCAGCCATGAGTGGCATGAAATTGAAAGTGTGGGATCCATACTTTTTCCATATTTACTTGCCCCTTTTATGTTTAGGAGATCCTGGCAATGATACAAAAAGTGGTACATTTATTTTCTATGTTATGGCTGTTACTGTTCTGCTGTAATGGAGTCTGAGAGACTTTAAATACGTTTTTTAAGGAAAACACTTTCTTCCAGACTAGCTTTGTAATGTTGCTATTTGGTGGGTTGAGGGGACAGAAAAAGGTAAGTCAACAGAACAATGGATTCCAACTTTGTTAAACATTGAATTATGAAATCTGTAGTTGTTTCTGTACATGTGATATTACAGTGTAGACCAAGCAGAAAACCATTCCAAAGTGTTAGCTACTCAGCAGTATACAAATCTCTCCATACCTACCCAAGTGTGTCCCACTCCCTAGTAGGGAAATTGCTTTCTGCTAGGAAGAGCTCTGGCATCAATGCGGGGTACTTGGGCACTGCCCTACCAGTTTCAAAACTACATGATCAATCATGTCATGATTATGCAGGCTGGTCCAGTCCACTACACTTATGTGCAGTAAGGCACCTTGGGGCTATCTACTTACTGCCTCAATGGCACATGCGCAGTGGAAGCACTTGACTAGTTTGAACAATTGAAATAGCCGCTTGTTTAAGCGGGCAGCAGGGAACCTGTACTGATGTCCCAATCCTAGTAAAGATCTGTTGGGAGGAAGACGGGGGCGGGGGGGTGCTATAAACAGAATAGAGACCATGCAGAACTGCTATTTAATTTCCAGAGGATTGAGGTCATCGTGTGTAGAGTTAAAAAGCAAACTAGTGAGTACCTTTTTGAACAGGTGTTTCAGCACAGTAGAATTTTTCAGAATATTGAGCTTTATATGAGATCATCCTTTGTATATGTTATCCGTTATGATGATTTCTCTGTTTTGTTTTGTTTTTTTTTTCTCTCTTTATAACTTTAGCCTTCTCAAGAAGAAGAATTTGGTGCTTGTCTCCCCAGCCCTCCAGGTGCTAGTACATCTGCACTGAACAGCTTGGTAGCCTCCTGTGCATCAGCAGTTGGTGTGAGAGTAGCTGCTACATATGAAGCTGGGGCTTTGTCTCTCAAGAAAGTAATAAACTTCTATGGTACAACTCCAGGTGAATTAGGATCTCAGTCTGGCAGTGCATCTTCAGGCCTGGAGGGGCTGAAGGACAGTCGGGAAGAGCAGGTCAGACTGGAATCGATGCAAGGAAAGAAAAGTTCTAGCCTCGTGGATATTCGAGAGGAAGAATCTGAAGGAGTCAGTCGAAGACTGTCCTTGCCTGGATTATTATCCCAAGGTAAGAGTGACTTGGAGAAAAGCAGAGATGCTAGGGAGAGTTAATGTAGTAGGCTAGCTATTAAGGTGGTAAGGCCTTGTCTGAAGTAAATGCATAAATGAACATAAATTCAGGCCCCCTCCAGAGAGTAAATAGAAGGACTAGTCAGTCCTTCAGATCTTGTTGAAGGTGAAGGATGTGGGCTGTATTGGCAAGTGTGCGTTTCTTAAAGGAAGTCGAAAGGTAAATGTAATTAGGAAAGTTTTCGTTTCTCTTTATGCCTTTTTTAAAAACAAGGACAGTTCCCAAAGCCACCATGGTACTGCATTAGTGGTGATATTCTTGGTTGGCTATTATGAAATCAAATCATTATATATAGGCTGCACAAAAGATGTTGGTTGGTTGGTCTGACCTTTGGTTGCTACTGCCTTGGGTTTGTTTTGAGCCATGGAAAAAATTCCATATACCATTACTTTACTTCTGAGTTGGCAGATCTCCTTCTTGTTTTTAATGTTGTTGATTTGCTCTGAATATGTATTGTTTACATACCCATGGTACCCATAGGACACACAGATAATACAATTATGGGAAACGATCATCCTCGACTGCCAGGGATTGCCATAGGAAGGCGCAGTAAAGTTGATTTTGGTGACATGATGATGTCTGAGCCGATTGGAAATTTCTTTGAATGGGTATAATGGCTACAGGGTACTTTAACTTTATTAGCAGCAAGATCATTATTCACATTAATGTAAATTCATAGCTTGCATTTGCTGCTGTCAAAGAGGAAACAATGGGTAGAACAAATTTCAATCTGTCAGCACACATACTGCTGCTTTATATCAGCATCAAACCTTTTTTCTTCTCCAGCATCACTAAATCTTAATTAAGACAGCTTTACCAATCAATTCAAATGTTGTCCATATTGCATAACACTTACTGTTTTAATATAAATGATGTATTTGATCTAGAATTAGAATTTAACTGACTTTTTTTTACTCAAGTTTCTGTGTATGGGAGGTGGGGATGGTAATGGAAGGTTTCTTTTCTTTCTTTAAAAAAAAATATATATATATATATTTGATTCTGGTTTTCCCCTGGGTTGTTTCTAGTTTCTCCAAGGCTCCTAAGGAAGGTGGGACGAGCAAAAATGAGAACAGTGGCTCTTACCCCAACCTATAGTGGTGAGGCTGATGCACTTCTTCCATCTTTAAGAACTGAGGTGTGGAGCTGGGGGAAAGGAAAGGAAGGACAGTTAGGACATGGTGATATTTTGCCAAGGTAAGATCTTGGTGGCAAGTTTCTGTATCCCATATATCTACAGCAAATCTCCCATTGACTTTGAAATTAGAATTTTGCCCAAGCTCGGTTATCAAGTTTCAGTTTTATATAAACACCTTCAATAATTTTTTTTTTTACTGATAATTATTCGTGTTTGCTGCTGAAGATCTTTGTGACCACTGATATTGTGGTGTAACTTTAAAACAAAGCAAATGTAATATGCTGGTTATGGCTTCTTGTTGAGAGTACCCTGATTTTTTTTTTTTTTTTTTTTTTTTTTTTTTTTCCCTTCTGTTTTCTTGGATTAACAGGCTTCAGCCACTATGTGTAAAAAGTCTAGATGGTAAAGAAGTGATTCAGCTGTCTGCTGGTGGCCATCATTCTTTGGCACTTACTGCCAAATCCCAGGTACAAGGGTAATGGTCATTTGAAATGTAGCTGACTTATTTGCTGTTTTCTGGGTTGGAAGGAGAAAGTGTCTAATAGCATGCATGATACTTTAAAAAGAAAAACATGCTCAACTCTTTGTTCATTTTTCTGTGAATATTTGCCCTCACTGTTTTTTCTGTATCCTAGAGAGAATGTAAATACAGGGAAAGAGTACAGTTGTGGAAATATTTATTAACCTGCTTCTCAAAACCTGTCTTCAGTTGCTCCCCAAATAGACCTCTAACTATTTTTTCCTATAGTAATACCATACATATAGGTACGCGTGCATCCACAACATATATATATATATTGTCTAGTAATATGGATTTAGTAATCCGAATTCTGTGTGCACTAGCTATTCATTCTTTTTTCTCTTCCCATGGTTTTGCACAGGTGTATTCGTGGGGTAGCAACATTTCCTGCCAGCTGGGTCATTTGAGTTCTCCAACCACAGTCCCTCGTCTTGCAAAGGTACTCCTTTCCTATTTCTGGTGTCCATTTGTTTACTCCCAGAGGATCCTCTATAGTAATGACCCCCCTCACCCCACCCTTTTTTTAGATTGACCTCTGTCCTTCAATTTTAGTAAAATAACCAAAAAAATGTGGTAGTGGGCATCTCCAACATAGCAAACTCTCCTCACAATTTTTAAGCTGACAGTTTACTTTAAATAAGTAATCGGTTACTGGAGGGAAGTGTTAAATTATTAAAAATGAAGAATATAGAAAAACAATTAATAAACAATGTAATTAACTTCCCCTCTGTGTATTGTGTCTATCCAAGAAGGATTCCCTTCTGCTTGTCACTGAGCTTCTTGATGCACAGGGGGATCTGTTTTGGGGTTTATGGTTTTTGTTTTTGTGTGTGTTTTGTTTTTGGGGGGTTTTTTGGGGGTTTTTTTGGTTTACAAACAGTTGTTTCCAACTTGCTTGGAAACTCATTTTAAGTTTCTTGTAAAAACTGGATTTAGAAACAAATCTGAGTCAGCTATCTCAAACTTTCCCTGCCCAAGTTCAGCTGCCAGGCTTCCACTTCTCCTTCCCCCAGCTTTACAGTTCATGGTCCCTGTATTTCTCAAAAAAATAACCCTAATCAAAGCTGGTTTTTTTTTGCTTTTGTAAACAGTAGTTATCATGTTCGTCACTCGTGTGCGTTTTTTGAAACCTTAATCAAGCCTTTTAGGAATTGACTCTGTTTTGGTTTGGTATAAATAACCTATTCATCACAATATATGTTCCTCGGTAAGTTTCAGTTCAGTCAGTTTACTCCTTATGTTCGCCAGGGAAGCTCCACAGTGCTCATGCTAATTAAGACTTTACTAAACCGCTATTATCTCCTAACTTGTGGAATTCCAAGATAAATGGGTGGGGGTCAATAGTACAACTTTCTTCATGCATGTCTGGATTATTTAAAAAATAAAAATAGCAGTTTGGAACAAAGCAGAAGATCAGCCCTTGAAGAGAAAGATTGAAACAGAAATAGTTTTACTTGCTGAGGAGAGAGACATCTGTTGACAGAATATCAGTCTGTGCAGTATGTTTACTGGTAGTCAGACCTCTCTTCTGGTATGAGCAGACTGTGGGGGAGGGTCAAGAAAGATAATTTTTCTCCTTTTGTTTGTTTTATGACACTTTCTTCTTTCAAACTCCAGGTATGTGATGCTGGAGTATGGAGTGTAGCAGCAGGAGCAGATTATTCCCTTTTCTTGGTGGATGGGGAGGACCAGCCTGGATTATATTACAGTGGTCGAGAGGAGATCACGGACAATAATTTGCCTGAAAACAGCTGCACTAAGAGTCCTACTCTGTTGCTAGGTTGCAGTAAGGTGAGCACTGGTTCTTTGATTGGCTGCTGGAACTTCCTAGAGACTCTTTGGTGTCCTTAAGGAGACCTTCTCCTTACTGAAAACGGAATTAAAAGTAGACTTCTAAAATACTGTCTTGTAATGTGTTGTTTTGGAATCTGACCTAGCAATGAGGTAGCTCCAAGGTGGGTTGTCAGTAACTAATCTTGCTTCTGACAAGTGTGAGATGGTAGTGTAGGAGTCATTTTTCAGTCTTCATAACAAGTTGGTGTAGATATTTCATTAAAGATGAGACTATTGCACTACTCTATTAATAAACTTTGTCTTGCAGGCTGATTTGCTCCCTTAATTCATTCTTTCAGAGCACTTATTATTTAAGTGCTTCCTAAATATTGAATTTTAATCTTAGCCTGATACGTACCACACAAACCAGCCAACCTATACACAAGAGAAAAGAAAGAAATGTTCTGTTGCTGGTTAAATCCATGATTATTCTTCTGTGTGAATTAGGGTTGCAACCTCATTTGAGAGGGTCTTTTAGCCACTGTTGTTACTAGGATACCAAAGGGTGGTTGACAGTCAGTGTTTTGTACATATTTCTCATTTCTTCCTCCCCATCATTCTTCTGTCAGCCAGTTTTAAAAATGGGTTGACTGCTAGGATGGATGAGTGGGGAGGAAGAAGAACACAGCTGACAGTGTTAAATAACAGGCCATTTCTCTGTTAGGTGTATTCTTGGCCATCAAGTCACTTGGTATCAATAAAGAATCTGCTCTGTCAGAGTAGCTTAGTTTATACTATGCTAATCACCAGAGCATGCTAATACTTTGTGCTGTGAATATTAAAGCTGCTTTTTCTTTTCCCCTCAGCTAGGGTACATAAGCAATGTGACCGCAGGGGGGAGCAACTGTTTGGTGTTGGTGGACAAAAATATTATGGGATACATCGCCAGCCTTCATGAATTGGCTTCTACAGAGAGAAGGTTCTATTTCAAACTGAGTGAAATCAAATCTCAAGTCCTCAGACCCCTTCTAGGTTTGGGTAAATATATTCCTTATAACAGTTGCTATGTCCTTACTACCCCAAATTGCTGCAATTAAGTTTCTACAAGTCTTTTAAAGATGCAATGCCTCACTAATTTTTGTTGTTAGTGAATATAACTGCATTTCAATGTCCTTTTTTTCTGCTTCCAGTGTAAATATTATGATTTGAGCTGAAGTAATTACATGAATGGTAAACCTTAGTTAGTCTGATTATTTGTTTACTGGGCAGCGATATTCATTGAAATAGCTGATTAACTCATTTGGGTAGTCAGATGGACTAATACTTATTAATAACTGATCTTTTGTAAGTGTGATCTTTTGTCTGGTCTGTTACAGATAACTTGGGCAATGCAACAACTATCCAGTTGTTGCAGGATATGGCAAGCCGGTTCAGTAAGCTGTGTTACCTAATCGGTCAACATGGAGCTTCTCTGAGTAGCTTTCTTCATGGGATAAAGGAAGCAAGGAACTTGGCTATCCTAAAGCATTCGAGTCTCTTCTTGGATAGTTACACAGAGCAAGTATCCAATTCTTTTTCATGGTTATTCTGCTAAACAGTAGTGCTGTTCGTTGAAAGAGAATAGTTCATGGGGAGACTGGCATAAGGAAATCTCAGTTGCCAAGTATCATGCTAATGTTAGGCAAATTACTATCTTGCACTACAACTCAAAATATCATATTTTATTAAAATGTTCTACCCCTCCTCTAAATGATGGTTCAGGCTGTTAGTTTATAGAGTGAATTGGGAACTTCTGACGTGTTGCATTATTTCTAGTGGTTGACTCCATACTAATCCCTGATTGCCTGCTGCACATAGCTGTAGAAAGAAAAAACACTGAAAAAAATCCGTTAAAGAACAATTAATCTTTGACCACAGTGTAATACAGATCATTATACTGCAGTGACTCTTACAGTCTAATCTGAAAGCTCCTTTTTGGAGTTGATTTGGTTTCAGGCATTTCGTACAACTGTATAAGATACTAGGTATGAGCATAATTTTATTACAACAGTGGTGCTCAACTTTCTGGCCCCAGAGGCTGCATGTGTTGCAGAATTGGTCTGTGGGCCAGATCCAATGTAGGGTCAGTGTACCAGCCCTGCACAGCTTTCAGAGCTGTGGAAATTGTATTGCCACCGTTGCTCCCCCGCCACCAAATTTCCCAATCCCTAGTCAGCCTCACAAGCTGGATGATGCCTTTCCATGGGTTGGAGGTTGAGCACCATTGTATAAAATGTGTTCAAGTAGTTATTTAATATCTGACAGCTAGAGCCTTTCTGATTTCCAGCATTAAATGTACTTATCCTACCTTTCTTTTTATCAGTTATTATAGTATCCATATATGACTAAAGACGGTTGCAGGCAACATAGAAGTGTTAGTTTCTACTGGGAGAATCTCTGCTCTTCTGGTAGAAATTGTGTGTACAGGTAGGCTTTCAGTTTCTTCCAGAGGAAACATGCCCCAGCCAGGGTAGTTTTTCTTGTTAGAAGGAACATCCTGGTCTTAATGAAACTTCCAGTCTACTTACCGATTTGTGCAGGGGTCCACCCCTGGAGAGAGACCTACTAAAGAATATGAATTTTTGTACAGGTCAAAGGAGCTATACATTGTTGACATTTGGCTGATTTTTGTACTAAGTACATTTGTTGTTTAATAACAAAAATACTTAACTCCAGATAACCATGCCTAATCAATTTTAGTTTTAGTAAAAGACACAGTCAGGTTAACTGTATGGAGCACCAATTCATACTGGTTATTCTCACGTGAGATCTGTAGTGAATGTTTACCAGTGCCCATATTTGTATTGCCTCATCCATAGTCAATCTAGTGGAAGTTGCTTTGCATTACTTTAAGCTAGTTTTGACCCCAGGATCCTAAACTCAGCAATCAAATGGTTTGACTTATATTTTTATACTGGGAAGAAGTTTGCATCCATTTGAATATCAGTAGTCCTCTCTTGAGTATTACACTTATACTTTAGTGTGCTGCAATTCAGCATTTGCATAACATAAGGGAAAAACATCATGAGATTATAGCTTGCAGGTAAGTGTCTAGAAAATGCATCCTCTACTAACACCATAGAATTATGGTGGTATTAGCCTGATTCTCTGCTATTCTTAACTTGTGCACTGTAAAATAACATGAAGTTAGTATGGTTCCAGTCTGAACTTTTTAAAATTGCTTAGTGATTCTTATATTGTTTAGGGGAATGTGAATTCAAACCCGAAATAGTTCATAGACTTGTTACAAGCGTATTTACTCTAAATTGCAGTATGGGAGACCATACTATTGTTGCAGTCTGCCTTACCAATTGACCTTAGCCTCTCTTTGGAATCGCCATGTAAAATTTGGTTTGGGTTTGGTTTGTTCACAGACACTCTTCTCCTCCCCCGCCCCTCCCCGTTTTGTCTGTAGGGCTGTCAGTTGTCATTTTCATAAGCTCTGTATTCATACAAACAATTAATGCATTTTAAACAAAAAACAATAATTGGAAAACTAGCTTAGTATTCTGTTTTTCTTGAGAAGGTTGCAGAGACATAAATGACATCTTCATCCTGGTAAGTAAAGACTTGCTTGGCCTCTAATGAACTGAACTGACAGTCTCCCTACAAATATCTTTTACTTAGCAAAAAATGCTTATCTACCCAATGCCCTGCTCCCCAACATATAGGTACATAACAATAATTGTTCAGAATTGCAGATGGATACAATCTTCCTTTCTTGCTATGTCCTACTGTTCCATGTTTTATTTTTCTTTGATTTGGCTCTGATTCTTGCTATTGGTTAGGGAAGGAACGTGTTTTTGATTGGGTTAGTCTTGTTCTTATGTTATCCAGGCTGTGTCTTGTCCTGGTTCACCATCTGCCTGTTGCTGCTCTAACAGCTTGCTCTTTTCACCCCTTTATTACTTTACATCTCTGTGTACTTTCTCAACATGGTGTCCAAGTATCTTTTTTTAGTATTGCAGTAAAGAACATGACTAACATCCCTTGTGTGCCATTGGGTGGGTTTTTGGTTGTAGCTGTGTTGGTTTAAGGACATAGGCAGGTAAGATTCTTTGAGTAGATGCGATATCTTTTATTAGACTGACTGAGTAGTTGGAAAAAAGTTCTTGGCAAGCTTTCGGGCGCAGTCACTCTTCTTCAGGCATAGAGTTTCCGCTGTTCTGAGACTACAAGAAATGAGAGAAGCTAAAAGTGTGGCAGGATACAAAAAAGGATGAACTTGATATAGACATTGGTTTTATGACACATTACAACCTGCCTGATATCTGATTCACCAGGTACTTGCCTGACCTGACTTTTTCTTACATTCTCCTTTTTCCCATCTTTTCTTCCCCTCCACTGTTTTGCCCTTTGTGTCCCTGATTTCCTTCTTCACTGAGAGCCTCTTTCTTACCTTGTATCATTACCACTGTAGTGCTTCCCTTTGACCTTTTTTTTCCCCCCCCCCTGCTTTTTTCCCCCTCCCTCCCCTACTGTACCTTTTTTTTGCTTTTTTTTTTCCTTTTTACCTATTAATATTTTCACTACATCCTCTCACACTTTGAGCTTCTCTCATTCCTGTTTTCCTGATCTCCAGCTATTTCCTTTTTCACTGACAGCCTTTTTTCTACCTTTTGTATTCTATTGCTGTAATGTCTCCCTTTTTAGCCTTCCCCCCCACCCCTGCTTTCTTCCCCCTCCCCTCTCTGCTGTACCTTTTTTGGCTTTCTAAATTTCTACCTATTTACATTCTCACTGACATCCTGCTACACCTCTTTAACTTCTCTCATTTTGTGGAGTCTCAGAGCAGCAGATACTTCCTGTGCTCTGAAGAAGAGGGTGACTGCACCTGAAAGCTTGCCAATAACTTTTTTCCAACTACTTGGTATAATAAAAGAGAGATCACACTTACTCAAAGAGCCTTGACTGTCCTTGTGTGCCATTACACACTTCTTCTGGAGAGAGTACATATTTATACATCTCCCCATTCCCCTTTCCCTTCCACTCAGGCCACCAGTATGTGTGCATCCACTAGTGTGTGTGAGCTTTTTAAAGTGCTCAAAGCATCATCAGATCGAGATGGTCTCTCCCTTTCTTAACTAGTCCAAGCCCTGGAGTAAAAACTGATTTCCCATTGGTCTCTCTGATTATTAGTAAATCAGGTAGTTTGAAAGCTTTTGTATAACCACAGAGCAAAGGTGCATTTTTGGCAAAATGTCTGATTACAAGCAATGCTTCTGTGGCCTGCCTTGCCTCTCCTGCAGCAGGTGGGGAAGAGAGTACTGGCTATGTTGCACTGAGTACTTTACCAACATAGGATAATGGTGAAGTATTCCTTGGTGTGTATACAGCTATGCTGCCAAAGTGTTTCATTTTGCCCAGGATGGGAAAACTCAGACCCACACTGCAGAAAATATTCTTAGCTTGGCACTTCTTTCACATGTTCCTCTTAAATCATAATAGTTTTTCTGTAAGTTCATTGCCTTTAAATAAAATGGAAAAGAGAATTTCTCTGCTTCAGGTTTTGGAAAATCAGTTCTCTTGGCAAGTAGTAGGTGGAGGAAGGCTTATTCATATAACTTCAGTCAAGGTAGCAATTGAAATGACAAGGAAGAAGGATTCCTATGTCTCTTCCATAAGTAATTCATGAGAAATGAAAACAAAGCATTTTTAGTACCAGATGACCATTTAATGAGTGTATAAACATTAGAAAGTTCAAATACCAAATTTCCAAATTGGTGCAGATGAGTTGCTTTTAAATAGCTATGGTATACATGATGGTCACACTTTGTTATGGAATCTTGATGTCAGTTTTGTATTAATATTAAGAATTTAAATGTGCAAGTAATAATGTATGTTAATCTATTGGGAAACATTACCCTTCAACAACTGTAATATTTGTTAATAAGTCCTAAAAATCTTATTTCTGTTTGGCAAACTTCTGAGAGATGCATTGATGCTTCTTGTGAGTATAGGAGGTGGCTTTCAATTTGAAATGAGCTTTTCCCTCATTTCCCCCCCCC